TAATTCAGTGGTGCCTCCAAAAATATTTAGTCGGCCCAGTTGGGGTCACTGAGAATCTTGGAGTGGTACACTAAAGACTATAGGCTACAGCATAGAAGAATTTCTGGCTGTGCAAGTTAATAGAAAAGTAAAGATACTATATAATATTATAAAATAAATTGCATACTATTTAATTCCTTGACTGAGCTCATGTCAACATATGATTATGGGGGGGGGCTAGGTTTATGATTGGGGCCATGGTCCCCCCACCCCCACCCCTTGAGGGGACGCTACTGTTGGGATCACAGGGACCTTGTCTACCTTGTCTGTCCAATGCACCATCTTTCCCTCTCTCTTCTTCCAGGCCAACACTCTGTGCCACACTCACGTATTCCGTTTTAATACCACAAACCACTTCCCATTTCAGGGTTGATAAAGCTGCAGAACTGTTCCTCTCAGGAAGTGTGTTTATGTGTGTGGCATGAGTGTTTTTCTTGTCCATTAAAGTTTAATATCATTGTTAGAGTGCACAGCGCTGCATTTTCTCTTCTACATTATTAAGAGTTGAAACATCTATGATTGAACTGACTACATCATCATGTTCCTCATGTCGCTCATGTGCAGCCTGACCTGGGAAAACCACTACAGTGATATGATGGCATGTGTGCACCCACTTAAAACGGATTTCATGTGTAGCTCTGAAATGCTACATGCAGCTGTTAGTTAATTATGAATATTTTCTATAATCAGAGTATGTGTGTGTGTGTGTGTGTGTGTGAGCTTGTGAATTTTGATGCATACAAGTATGTGAACATGGCAGCATATTAATAGGATGCCCATTTTGACTAAAACAACTTGATTTTTGTGGCATGCATTGTAACACTGTCAGGCTGAGAGTCTATTCAAGTGATGAGAATCAGACAAGTAGAAAACTAGAGAGAAGGGAATGACATGCTACAAAAACACAGCTTCACAAAAACAACTGCATGTACACGTACACACAGTCAGTCATGCACACGTGTGCAAACACACACTCCTTGTTTCAGTCATTCTTTGGCTGGCATTTCCTGGGGTTGCTCTCTCTGCATGAGCTTTTCACACCTCCTCTCTCCCTGGCTGTGAGCAACACTGATCTGATGGGCAGAGAGAATGCAATCAGGCAGACAGTTGGTCAGAGGCAGCCAAGCAAAGAGTGGTAGTCAGACAAAGAGACAGACTGTGTGGGAGTGGTGTCGGGACCTGAATTTTTATTTTACCCTAACCAGCAGTCTTCATTTTAAAGCACCATCAAACCAGAATCAATCCAGCTGACATGAAGGAAGCAAGTCTTCCAACTTAAATGACAAAATAGGTCATTTGTCCCCTGAGTTAGTGTCCCTACAGCACCCCAAAAAAATCATTATTAAAAAAATACAATTGTGAGAGTGCTGTGCTAAAAGTATGGTTAGGTTTAGGCAGAAAGACAGCTAGGTTAGTTTCAGGGAAAGATCACAATTTGTGTTAAAATACTTAAGGTAAAGGTTAGAGGACCTTTGGCATTGTAATTACAGTAATAAACATTCAAATTACAGAATGATTATGGCCATGGTAAAAAAGAAAACATTGGCCATCAGTTGGAAATGGGGCATGAAGAGTCACCAGTGGTTTCCCATATTAAAGACTAATGCCTTTTTAACCCATCCACCCACCTTGACGTTATCCCTCCATGGACTTTGTGGCTATAAGCAGTGTCAAAGAAAGGTTGTAGTAAAAGGATCTAGCACTTTTGAAAGCTGCTGCAAATTTAAATGTTTTTAGATCATTTAAAGAGCAACTTGATGCCACTTGGCTGACATCAGTGGTTACTCTCATTTTACTACAGTGATGTAGAAGTGTTGGGTGGCGATGCCAGTTAGTCCTGTCACCTCCCAGCAAGAACAATCCAGGGTCGATCCCCAGCTGACCCGATACCTTTCTGTGAGGAGTTTGCATGTTCTCCCTGTGCCTGCATGGGTTCTCTCTGCGTGCTCCGGCTTCCTCCCACAGTCCAAAGACATGCAGTTTAGGTTGACTGGTGACTCTAAGGTGTTCGTAGGAGTAAGTGTCAGTGTGTGTGGTTGTTTGTCTACATGTCAGCCCTGTGATAGGCTGACAACCTGTCCAGGGTGGACCCCGCCTCTCGCCCAGTGTCAGCTGGGATTGGCTCCAGGTACAGTATATCTACTGAACAAATTGAAACATTATAGTACACGTTTGGTCTTAGAAGAGAAATCATAAAAAAATTGGATGTTAGAATGTTGTAAAGCTTATTAAAATATCCTAGCCCAAAACAAAGACTGCACTTCAGACAGTGGAGCAGATGGACATAAAAGAAATGAGAGGTGTTAAGTCTGGAAATATCAAAGTTAAATAAAAAATGTTTAGTCATCACGAAAGCTAAACTCAGATGGTGAGCGCACACATGCTGTATACACAGATACATGCACACATTCTCACACATACGTGCACACACATACACACGGGGGCTGAGACATCCAGAGCATCCTCTGTGCCAGTCTCTTCCTCCAGGGCGAGTTAGTGGTGCTTTTAAGTGCCGACATCAAAGAAGCCTGTAAGGGTGAACTGTAAAAATAGGCCATGGGGCCAAAAAGGTTTTAGTTGTCATGAGTTTGATAACCAGTCAGTTAGACAAGGTCATTCATTGACTCAGTGAAACTTCATCTGCTTTGGCCTTATTTTGCGTTGGGTGGGGGGCCAACAACACCCGACCCTCACCACACATGCACACATATACAGGACAAACAACACACAGAGTACATGGACTTCCTTAGGCTGACAATCAGGCTTTCAAATACTGTACAATACAGTGGGAAATTGAGTACATAAATCTAGATACATTTGACTATTTGCAGCGAAATCACTCACCCTCGTACACAAATCTAAAGTATAAATATCAAATAGAACGTATGACATTTGCCAAACAGCTACAATATCACTACAAATATAAATTAAACTAATGTATTTTTTGTTAGCATGAGTGGCAGTGATGACTGGGCATGATATATCTTATCCAGTATATGGCTGAGAACGTAAACCAAAGAGTGTGCAGTGCATCAGGAGAATTTGGAGTCCCACACATGGTACTTCAATCACATTCAGTGATTGAACCAGTCTCTTGTACAGTGTGTTATCATCCCAGTTCTGGGTTGCTACAGTATATTGCACCCTGACATGACTATGTTCCCCTGTATCTTCTCCCTGGGACTGGAACTGATGCAGTTCAGCAGCTCATCTGTTCCTAGTTATTTCTTTGAATCAATTTTACCAAACCTCTCTTTCTAACCTATTCTAATTTGTTCCATGTGTCACAAAAAACTCTGAATGACAAGCCAGTAGTTGTTTCATTGTTAGTCTTTTTCCATTTAAATAGTCATTACAATGAATATTTGTGGTGGTTAGAGGGTCACCGTGACAAAATATAGTTTTCAAAACACAAAAGACAGGACATATATAGTTTTCTTTTTTTTAATTTTACTTCTTTTTGGGTAATGGATTTTTATTAACTTGTAGATTTAAAAATAAAAATGTAAGAAGATTGCACACAATTATTTATTTATGGACTTCCTTTTTACTGAAAGTTCAGCATAGCTTGCAACTTTACATTCAGTTATCAGTTATTTAGGGACACCTAGCTAAATCTAATGCCGTCTAATATAACAGTCCAACAACCTTAACCCTCCTGTTTTGCATAGAGTATACACTGTGTACAGTAGATGGCATTTTTTTAAAATATTTAGGATGGATATCAGTAATAATATGATCAGTCAGATAATAATGTAAGTCTTTACATTTGAAATAGATACTCTGTGTGAAAAACTTGTTTTATGTGCAACAATATAAACAGTATTCTTCTGATAACAGAATAAATGGCTGCCTCCCAGCTGCAGGAATATTATTACAACTAATGTTTCCTGCTCTTGTTTACTTCTGCAGCTGCAGAAAGAGAATCTGAATATATGATGGGAAAATTAAGAAACTAAAGCTGACTGCTTTGTGCAAGTAAAATGACAGGGATTTGTGACCACTGCTGCAAAGAATGCCAGCCAACTAAGAAAGCTTTGCCAACATGAGCTCATGCCTTGACCAATTACAGTCAGATTTAATGGGTTTAGCACCAACGGTCATGTTTTGGCCACAACCGTGTAGGAAGTAGGTCTTCCAGGGGAGAAGAAGTCTGAAACAAATTAAATGAGGGAATTATCCCTCTTTTTGCTCTCTCTCTCTCTCCATACTAATGTCTTCCCTTCTCTGTGCAGACTGTGACCAGTAAGATAAGAAAAAAATCCCATCAGCACTATATGAAAAAAAACAACAAAAAAGAGTGAACAGAGAGTGAGAGATAAAAAGCAAAAGAGATGACAAAGGCAGAGATCGTGTGTATGTGAATGAAAGCAGGCGAGATGGAGATGAAGAGGATGATTTGCTAAAGATAAAGACAGGCTGCCATGGTGTAATTTTGTTCTATTCATTTGCACATATCTGTGAGAGATGGACAAAGTAATGATAAAAGACAAAATGTAAATACTCCGAATGAGAGACAAACTCCAGGTAGGATGTGATTTGTAAAGGAAAGAGGAGAAACAGCATTGACCTTATTTTTTTTCAAATGTGCACTGTGGATTTAAAAAAAAAAAGAGGTTCTTTTTCTCTCTCGCTGGCAGATGATGTGATGCAGGAGGAGATTTCTAGCAGCATTTCCAGGTGAAAATGTCTGTGAAACAGCATTTAGACCATGGCTGACTGAAAACAATACTAATGAACTTTCCTGAAAGAGCATTTAGACCATGTCAGAGTAAAACCCTCCACTATGAGTAGCTCCAGTGAAACGTTTTAAAAGAGTATTTGGGCCATGGTACGCTGAAATCTCTCTTTTCTCTTCTCTTCTTTTACCCAGCCCCATCACTGCAGAGAGTGAGCAGCAGGAGCCTCAATGGCAGCAGCCTCATTCTATCTGGGCATGGGCATCACTACAGCGTGGCATCTCTCCCCAGCGAGCAGAAGGGGAGATTACTCTGTGCTCACATCAAAGGAGGTTTGTCTAACTTGGGTTTGGTGTTGTGCTGCTAGGGTGAGTCCTTGGAGCAGCCTCGCCGTTCTTATCTCTACCCCACAGACTCTTTCAGCTTTCTGCTGCAACACAACTGGCTGCCTTTAACACACTGACAAACACCATGTTCGTGTATGAAAACACGCAAACAAACTCACAGTCACACAACAACACACATAACACCGAGGCAACTCTTTTTTTCCTTCTGATATTAGTAGAATTTGTTCTGCTGAGCGCGTCTCTCTCGTCCTCCTCTAGACTCTGTTGAGAGCTGAACCTGGTTTGGTTTATATTTGAAATGGAACTGATTATCCCTGGACAGATGCCTGCAAAAGGAACCCTCTAGACTTGAATTTGGCATTAAATATTGTAAAGACTTGAGGTAGATTCCTTTCAACCAAAAACAGCACCAAAGTGACTAAATCCCCACATTAGACGTATAAACAAACTGTTTCTAGCTGATAACCATGAACTGTAGACCGACTGATTCTCACATGATTTAAATCTCAAGATGAATGGAAACTTGGAACAGCAAGAGTTTAAAGGAATAGTTTGACATTTTGGGAAATGTGCAGTCTGCATGCTGCCTTTAATAAAAACTCCAAACATGTAAAGTATGTTCTTTTATAGCAGTGGCGGAAGACATTTGGTGGAAGTAAAAGTAGAAATACCACAGTACAAAAATACTGTATGAGAAAAAGTCCTCCATTCAAAATGTTGAATTTCACATTAATGTAGGCTTAAATCATATTATTGGATTCAAATTATTGATGCATTATTGTGCACTTGAATATTCTAGCTGGTAAAGATGGAGGTAATTTTAACTACCTTATATGCTTATAATTTGAATTACCGCTGAGTAGCTTGTGAATTTCTCAGTAAAGTCTTATGATTATGCCATATTATGGTTTATTGATTTTAATCTAAAAAGTAACTAGTAATTAAAGTTATCAAATAAATGTAGTGGAGTAGAAAACATACAATATTTTGTTTTTAAAATATAGTGAAGTTAAAGTGTGAAGTAGCAGAAAATGAAAATACTCAAGTAAAGTACAGATACCTCAAAACTGTACTGAGTAAATGCACTTAATTACTTTCCACCTCTGATTTATAGAGCTATTTTTCATGATTTTTTCCCACAAACTAAGTCAGCCATTCATTCATAACCCACTAATAGGCAGTTTGAACATTTTCTTTAATATACAGATGTAGAAGTTAAACTCGCATCCTGTTCATTATTCACACCATGTTCTAACTACTGCCAGCAGATGGCTAGCTTAGTTTAGCACAATGACTGGAAACAGGGGACATGGATAGCCTGTCCTCCACAACTCATTGATTAACATGTTCTCTCCATTTTGTTTAATACATACAAAACCCAAACTGAATAAATCACAATTTGTCATTTTAAAGGGAATTATGACTCTCAGTTCTGAGCAGTCAAGACTCTGATGTTCATTCTCCCAGCTAACAGATATTCCAGAATGTAACCTCCAGCAAAATTGATAATTGATGTTTTTCACTTTAGTTTTTGTATGTATTCAACTAATAAGATGCTAATAAATGAACTTTAGAGGTGTTAGCGTTGTTACATGTGGATAGAGCCAGTCTAGCTGTTTTCCCCTGTTTCAAGTCTTTATGCTAAGCTAAGATAATTACATATGTCCCAGCTCCAGATGTAGATGCTAGTTGTGGTGATGTTCTCATCAACTCTCCAACAGAATATCAAACTTTTGCTTGTGCTTTATAAAACATATTTTCTTGTTTCCTTTGTGTTCACAGAAACGATTTTTGAATCATCCATGTATTTAGTTTCACACTAAATCTCTGTAAAATAATTTTAAAAAGTGTTGGTGTTAAACAGAGAGACAAAGAGAGAGCGTGCTTGCTGCAGTCACTGACATTAACCGATCTTGTCGTGAACAATGGAACAATCTGACTCCTCCAAAAGTGTGAACCCCACCCATAATACACAGCTGAGCCTGGCTCTTTTGCTGCTTTGAAATAGAAAAAATAAAAACAGCATTTTAGGAGATTTGTCAACATTCATTTTTGTAAATGACACATTGATGTGGAACAGTCGAAATAATTACGACTTCTCATTTAACATGATGGAGTAAATTTGGTTAGATTAAGGGCTACTGGGTTTTTCATGAAAATTAAGATAGAAAACACAAATATTGAGAGCCATGAGGTCCTAATGCTGAAAATAATTAAGTGGCGTGAGTAAATTGTAAGCCCAGGTCTGCCTGGACAAAGAGCTTTATAGTACCAGAGCTCCCTCCAGTACAGCAAGCTAGACTCACAGTGATCCCTAGTGGTGAGGTGTTGATATTACAACCACAAAAGGTGACTCACAATGTACAGTAATTAATTGGTTTTAGTTCTAATGTAATGAGATACCTACTGCACTAAATTGAATTATATAAATACACTTGACTCACAACATAATCAGGATGAAACCACCTCGCACACTGAGAGTGCAATAGTCCTAACTGTCTCAAATCTTAATATTGTAAGCATATAAACATATATGTGAGTATTATGAATGGCGTTTTTGATACCGAATGACCATTCCCCTGTTTAAATGATTCACTGGGACATTCATTCACAAATATGAGCTCACTCCCACCAAATAAACTTTGTCCTTGGCTTTATTTCAACATCTGCTGCCTGCTTTGATTCCAAAAGTCGCTTCGTCAACTAAATGCAAACACAGGAGAACAAACTTCATTTTAAACCCATTCTGTCTTCTAGCTCCTGTCTGCACTTCTCCTGCACCATGGACAAGTCCATCTCCACATTATTACTGGTGTTATCCTTGCCATCCATTGTGTACGGTGAAGGTTTTGCACTGGTACCAATTGAACTTGTTCCTGTTCCCTGCAATGACAAAGCAGTGGAGAAGCTGTCTCGCTTGGCCGTCACTTACATCAATGAAGATCGCACAGATGGCTACAAGTTCGCCCTCAACCGCATTGCTAATGTCCACCTGCATGCTCAGGTCAGTACAGAGATAAATGCTCAGTGAGAAAAGCTGCTGGAAGCTGTTGTAATATCCTTTTAGTGGGTGATTTGTTTCCGTTAAACAAAGGAATCAGCGGTATAGAGGTCGTTTTCCCTTTGGTTGTTGCTGAAAAACCCACACATCACACTGATAGATTTGATAAAGTTTGTTTTGTCATTAGAACTTCTAATCAAAAATCATCCTTATATATTATCATGTCACAATGCACTGACACTCACATAATCCTGAGAATGCTGATGAAATTGCATTCTGTTTCTCAAGGATTCCTTGTGATCCCCAGGCCCCCATTTGGGAGCCACTGGACTATGTCAAAGGCAAGAAAAATAGTAGCATTTACACAAGAAATACAGCAATAAATAATAATAATAAATATGAGCAGTGCATGTCACTTTTAATAAATGTAGCTTTAAAACTGCACATTATTTTATGTCATGAAATAAGAAGCCATCCTCTTTCATGCCTCATAAAACAGGCCTTTAGGACTGACATGACTGTTAATAAAGTTCGAGTCATTTCGATCCAAGACCTCTGGGATGGAGCTTACACAACAGGCTTTATGAACCTCGTGCTGTCAGCTGCTGAAGGCTATTGTAGCCTGACAGATCAGGCTTTAAGAGGCTCAGTTCAGTTTCATGACCTGAAAAGGCTGCCATTACACCTGCTGGAAGTGCTGACATTTGTTTTCAGTGTAACAGCTCAAATCAATATTGTGCAACAGTGTTATGGGGAACATAGTGCACCTCCTAAACGATTCCTTAAACATGTAACTGAACAAACAGCTTCTGTGATACACACTAATGCCGCTTTATTTCCATAAACAAAATATGAATGAATACACTGTCTGGCCACTTTATTAGGTACATCTGCATAGTTGTATGAAATTCAATGCAACACTTCCGCTTTAACATATGTGTTTATGAAGCTCAAAATGTTTCAGTTTTTGGTGAAGTTGTTGTAAATGTATAAATTCAAGTATATATTTATTACTGAGGGCGTAGTTAAAGGTGGTGTTGTACTGGACTACATTATATTCAGAAGTGTTCCTAATATTCTGACCCTCTCATGTATATAGCTGGGGAGGACAAAAAAATAGAGACAAATATAATCAAAATATAATGTGGCCGGGCATTGTATAAAATGTACTTCACTCCATTACTTGTGTTTGCACTGTGTGCATCAGGGCCCAGCAGGCAATGTGTATTACCTGGACCTGGATGTCCTGGAGACCAAGTGTCACATCGGCAGCCCAAAGCCGTGGAAACGCTGTGACGTCAGACCTTTCATGGAAACAGTAGGACACACACTCACCTTTTGTTTTTCTGCAGTTGTGAGGACACTCATTGACATAATGCATTCTCCATATCCTAACCTTATCCAATTAGCCCTAAAAACAAGTCTTAACCTTCACACAGCTGTTAGCTAAATTGTCCTCACAACAAGGGTATCAAATTAATATTTGTCCATTGGGCTAGACATGTGAGGACTCTTACTGGCACAATGCATTTCCTACTCTATAAAAAGCACAGTTTTAGAAAGTCAATCTAATTATTTGAAAACTAAATTTATGATACTGGTTGTCAAGTGTCATGACTTACACTGAATCTTCTTTAATACTCATTTTAGGGTCAGTGTTTTTAAGCCAGTCTCAAGAAATCTTTTTTTTTTCCAAACTTTTGTTTGATACTAACAAATTTCTTTCAGTTATAAAATGTTTTGCTTATTGGCAGAGGGAGATTTTTGAAGTGCTCTAAACCAAATTGCATCTTTAAATCAAGTTTATCTTTAAAACAAACCAACAACGGCCCTCTGAAGGAGGAAGATCAGCCAAAATTTGACTGTTAGATATATGATAGCAAATCTTTGTTGAGATGGTTACTGAGATTCTGACAGCAGCTGTTTTGTTAATTCCAGCAAATCTCTGGCAACTGCAACACCACTATTCTTCACACACCAGAGGGATACTCCTACCTGTACAGCTATGACTGCACTCTAGTGCCAGGTAACATTGATTGATTGATTGATTTATTCTTTCAAACATGCAGAACAGAACAAAATGAACAAATGACAACAACACACATAATTACACATATCCAACCAATGCTAATCCAAAATCAGTTTGCTTACACCTATTACATGTTTGAATGGAGTAGGAAGAAGTCAGACTTATCCAGTCCTACCCCATGTCATCATATTATACAAAATTACATGCACCATTGGCTGCAAGCTCTACATAGATAAAACAGAGTGTTTCCTAATGCCTTCTCGAATAAATCTTATTCTTGCATATATCTTGTATAACACATACATTTATATTTATATTTAAACTCCTCAATTCTAGTACTATTTTTCATGTCCACAGTTAAATTATTCCATAATTTGACCCCACTTATAGAAATACAAAATCTTTTTTTGGTTTTACGTATAGCATGAACTTTCAAATTTAAGTGACCCCTTAAGTTATATCCACCTTCCCTTTCACCAAATAACTTTTGGATTCCACCAGGTAATAAGTCGTTCCTGGCTTTATACATAAACACAGCAGTCTTATATTCCACTAACATTGACATATTGCTATAAAAAAGCAGTTTGAGGTTGGCAGCAATACATTATTTCTGTATTATTTCACCGTATGGCACTACTTTGCTCAAGGTGTTTTTGTGCCTATTGTCGCACCTATCAGAGCAATGAAGGGATGCAGTTGTGCTCCACTGTACAATGATTCATCACTGTGTATGAAGAGAATGAAAATTTACCCCTTTCAACTTTGGACCTTGATCATGTCATGCAAAAATCCACAATAAAATATCATAGGGACTTTGATGCCAGGTAACACTTTGTTGTGTCTCACATGTTCCTGTAGTCTTCTTCATCACACTGTGGTCCCCACAGATCCCCCAGAGAAGCTCCAGCAGACATGTCCAACCTGCCCCCTGCTGCTGCCTGTGGACAGCCCAGAGGCTGAGAGCACTGCTCAGTTCACTCTGGCATTCTATAAGAGACAATCCACACTGGGTGCTGGACTCGGTATAAAGAAGATCACCAGAGCTGCAGAACAGGCACGGCTACATGTACAGTTATTAACTTTGATGGGAGAAACGTGGGAGAAGCTAAGGGGCTGACTTCATCACATTGAATGTTGTGTGTATTGAGAAATTACACTTAAAACATCTCTGGATGTCCATGAGCACACATAGCATACTGCACCTGTAAGCGTCTGTGTGCCAGATGAGAGCCATTATCACAGGAGTCTGCCAGTTTTGCAAAGGATTACTGAAGGCACTTTAGGCCTGACTGTGGGGCCAGGCTTTTGTTTGGGGAGTGCATGGGAATTTGAATGACTACTCTGGGCTGAGTACTTTGCTCCTGTTTGCATACAGAGGTTCAGCTTTTGTATATTTTTTTTCTCTAAAACCAAGATACATTAGAGTACAATATTTGTCTGTATCTGTGTTTGTGTGATTATTCATGCAATTTGTCCTTTTCTTTTGTCCGTATGGTTTTTACATGTCAGGTTGTGCCAGTGAAAGCCAGTTTTGTGGAGTACACAGTCCAAGAGTGTCCAGAGGGAGTGACAGAGAGAGGCACCTGCCAGCGACTGACACTCGACTCTGACACAAAGGTGCTTAACACAGGAAGTCTGCTCATGCAAAATTAGAAGTTTCCCCAACTCATAATGAAACTATGACACTAATTAATGTTGTTCCCAAACGCTGAATAAATACTGATCAGCTACCATCTTGTTTATTGTAGTATCACTAAAAGGCTCCATTCACTGTCTCCTTTCTTTGAGAAGCTTGACATGAACTTGCATCCTTTTTATGTAATATGTTATAATTAATTTATATGTTTTTAAATGTTAACATAGCACATGCACATCCAAAAAAAAATGTTTTACAGGTGCTGAACTGACAACAGCTTATTAAAGGCAAAAAAGCAAGAAAAAAATTTGAAGTGTTTCAAAGTGTTGCTGCTATTGAAATAAATTACTGGAAGCTTAACACGGTGTGCAAACTTTTTTCTTGCTTTCTGCCTTTATATGTTTTTGACCCTCTCTGTTATATCCTGTGTTTGTTTGTTTTTGTTTTTATAACAACCTAATGCCCTAGAAGAAAAGTGTAACCTCTCTTCTTCTCCTCTCAGACTGCAGGTTTCTGTGCAGGATCTGTGCATGGAGACATGAAACTCTATCCTGATGTTCAGGTGTCCTGCGAGATGTTCAAACTACAGGTACAGGAAACACTTGAACAATATTCACCATCTAATCCTTAAGGGGATTAAGGCAAAGGCATACTATAGCTGTATAAAAATCACAACAAATATAAATAATCAATATATTTGTGCAAACAATAACTATAAACAATGTAAAACAATAGAAGTCCAGCTTATCTACATAATAATAATATACTAATAATAATAATAATGATGAGCACACTACTACCTGGATTTTATGCACATTCAAGGAGATCCTTAAACTATCACATAATACTTTATTTTGATAGAAAAAAGAGTCTCGCGAGCAAGAGTTTGTGAGATGTGTCTAAACCGAGTTGCTTCTGCAAAGAATTACTAGAACATATGTACACCACATTTTTTGAGCTTTAGGTCACATCTTAGATGATAATTCATCATTGTAGCATTGTAGATACAGTAAGTCAAAAAAACAAGGAAAGGTGCCATGGACTCTTTAAAAAAAAAAACACATGTTGCATGGCTGTTAATGCGTTGTTTCTGTTATGTTAGAGAGAATTGTTGTAGGGCTGGAGAAGTTACTATGTCTGCATTATGCCAGTTAAAATATGGGGTTTCTCAATTACCCGCTTTATTTAGAGTGTTACACATCTCTTTTCATTGGTACATATACCGTTGTGACACAACACTGGCAGCAGGAGTTATGCGTGTTCAGGAACTATCCTCTCATTTTTAGGAAGTGGCTCTCTGGTTTTATCATTGTGAAACAATCACAGACAATTTGGAGTTATGAGGGGTGCGAAGCTAATCTAGAGGTACCCAAGGTTAAACACTAAATGAGCATGCCATGGCCACTTTAAATACAAGAAATTAGCTTCCAAAGAAAGAAAAAAAAAACTTTTGGCACAACCCAACAAAGAACAAAGCATTCAAGTGAATTAAAACACCAGTCACTAACTGAGTAAGGTAAAAAAAACTTCAGTAAAATGTAAAATGCCAATCACATCACAAGTCAGGAATATAATAATCCACTGTGTGACCTAGATGTTTAGAGCTCTGTCGTCTCAGATTTAACTAAAGCAACCTTTACAATGATCATTTAACTTTCTGAATGAGTGCCACTGGCCATATAATTATTCTGTCATATCGTACATGTGCTTGTGTCTTTGAATGTGTGTTGTGCTTGTGTGAGTTTGAGTGCATGTGTGAGATTTAAAATTGTATGGTTCTATGCTATAATTATGTTGTCTGCTCAGTCCTTTCTAGAGCTGTGGTGTGTAATGTTATATTGCATGACTGAGACTCTTTTTACAGCTGGTGCAGTGAGTCTCTAAAATATCACTATGGTGTGATCTTGGCTGTCTGTCTTCAGAATGTTGACATCCTCAGACCAGTGCAGCCGCAGGGTCACGACCTCCCCCAAGACCATGTGACCCCAGTCCTCACTGTTCTGATTGATGACCCAGAAAACGGTCGGCAGCCTCTTTCCTCTGACCCTACATCAAGCCCTGCTGTTCAACCAGTGCCGTCTGACCCCTCGCTTGTGGCTAATCCTTCTTCCATCCCCCTCAGCTCATCTTCCAGTGAGTCTGCTGAATGTCTAGTAAACCAGCAACAACCACTGCCAACTGCAAGTCCTTTTGATTCATCCTCTGAAGAAACTGGAGGTCCTGTTGCACTGCGCCCGCCATTTAATTTCCGCTATCAGAGACGTGACCGCAAGAAACGGCAGGCCTTAAAGAAGACTTCAGCATCTCCCAACCCTGTCTTCCTGTCGAATTTCCCCAGTGGGCCCTCTCCTTTCCGCTCTTGTCCTGGTCCTGATCGGTACACCACAGTTTAACTGGTGCTGCACAGGACTACGTTTGTTCAGTGAAAGGGTGGACCAATAAACTGTTCCACTCCCTGTCACTGGAGGCTTGTAATAATTTTTGCTAATATGTGGGAGGAATGCTTTCTCTTTTCTCTCTTTCAGAGGCCCTGAAATGATCTGCCACTGCTGTAATTTTGCTCCTGAAGCAGCACGTGTATTTGAAAAAGGCTTCAAATATTTGAACAATTTGAATAAATCTTGGATTTGATCCTCTGTCAAATCCTTGGAGAGCTTATGCGCTTAAGATAAGAGTCCAACAATACTTACAGAACCTTTTTTGGTGTTATAAAAAAATAAAATTTTGATTGAATAGAATGAATAAGTTGAATACATAAGAATTTAAATGTTTTGTTGATTTATCAATTAGCTGATTGAAAGAAAAAAGAATTAGCAGCAATTTAGACTATTGGTTAATTGTTCAAGTTGATTATAGAACAAAAATGCCAAACTTCTACTTCTGTAATCTCAACAAAGCAGGACATCCAAACAATTGCTAAATTATTTTAAAAATTAAAAGATGAATCAGCAGTAAAAAAACAAAAAACCAAAAAAAAAAAAAAAACATTAGTTACAGCTGTAAAACATTTAGCTGCAGTGGCAATAGGTTATACACCATGATAATGGATCAGTGTATTGATTTTCTTTTAACTTGCATCAAGGAAAACAAAAGGTCAACAACAGATATCCTATCCAAAGTGGTAAAACTGGCAACTGGACTTGCTTGAACTTTAGTCGAGTTGCCATTTTAACATTTTGGATATACCATGACCTGGATAACTGAGAATCTCCACAGACATCAACAACAAATGTTTGCACAAAGACAAACTAGGAGATTAATCCCAACTGTTTCACAGTTTTGCTTGTGTATAGGATATTGAAGAGAAGACAAAACATAGCATTTTGTTATTTGTGCGTACTTTTATAAATCTGGCAGCACAGAGCAACTTTGAGCGGCAGGGGGCGGGAGAGGACTTCAAATATCAACTTATCACGTCAGAAGTGTGATCACTGCTGCATTAATTCAAGCTCTTCACCATATGTTGCGTGTGTGAATCGAGAATTCAATCCATCAGTCAGGGTCAGGACCATCATCACTCCTCCACTACCCAAACGTCACATTTAAAGACTACATTTACCACTATGATTGGTATATCACGCGCGTTTCAGTGGTAGTGCTAACAATTCAGGCGGTACTTGAAGGCAACAACAGCTGAATGTGAGTCAGATTTGTAAAACGAGGTGTGGTTTCTTCTTCTTCAGTCCCAGACAGTGGAGTCGTCTTCTTCCATATGAACGAGTGAGTAAACTGCAAACAGCTGTTTGGAAACATTAGTTAAGACGAGTTTGAGTTGGTGAAAATGTTTTTTTAAAGCCGAGGTCATGTTTGTGATGTATGCATATACGTCACTTTGAGGTAGGTGAAATAATTAGCTAACGTTGCTTGAAAAGTTTTGGTGTTAAACCTGTTGTTGTGTTTCTGTTACTTGTTAGCTTATCTTGTTCACTGTGGACCCCTCGTACTCCACTTTGACCTCGCCTTTAACTGTGTCAGTAGACTAAAACATCTTTTTACTTTATTGTCTCTTGTAAACAACCAAACATGTGATGGTATGTTCATACTAGAATGGCTCATTTCCAGCTTTATAGTACACCTTTTCCCAAAACACTCATCACCACGAAGGATGTGTCATCATGAGACGTGACTGAAAATAACTGACCTCAACTAAGAAAATAACTGGTAGCTTCTCCATTTGTTTCCTGAAGAGAAGCCCAGCAACAGGATCTTGTTCATGGTAGGACACCTAAAAGTCAAAGCAGGGCAGTTATTTGAATAGCGCCAAGGCAATTTAAAGTGCTTTCCATCAGACTTACTAGGCATTTAGTAAAGAATCACAAGACAATATTAAAAAGACACATACCTATGATTTTGATTTTTGATTTTTATATCAATATATTTTTGCTGATAAAATCAAAAGTGAAAGGGCAAGTATTTGGTGGCACATTCTTTTTATTACAAACTCGCATATCTCAGTTCCTGTTGAATTTGTCCTTCATTCTTGATGAACTGTTCTCCAGTGCTACATTATTAGAGGCAGTAAAAATGTAACTGCAATGTTAAAGGTTTGTCCCAGTGTGTGGTCCTTGCATGAGAAGCGGCCGCACCCTAGTGATTTTTGTGTACCACTCTGTTTGGAGGTTACAAAGGATGATACATTCAACAGAGGATGATGCAGTCAGCTGTAGTTCTTTGGCTGGAAATTCCAGCCAACAGGGATGTTAACAAGTCTAGTACAGCTCTATGGGAGCATATGTGGAACAGGATAAAAAAAAAAGCTGACAGCCGGCACATGATCACCAGAATGGGAGGTGTAAGAGAGGATAATACAGTGCCTGCGCTGCTAAAGCGCAGGTTTCTGTTCTAAACCGGTTGTGAGAATTTGGCACAAACAGCATGAATCTCTCCTGAGTCCTTTTAAGATTAAGGCTGTTTAAACCAGTCTGCACTGTAGTAAAAGCCAGACATCATTTGTTTTCTCTTGTTGAAATGGCTTATCTAAATAACATGGCCACAAAATGATTTGTGTATATATAACTACATAGAAATTGTAAAGCTAAATATTGATAAAATTGCAAGTATTGAACAAATATGGTTAAGTGACTCGGGCTCTAACTAGAGTAGCTGTTGTTTTCATCATTGATTAGTCTGCCAATGATGTTCTTGAATAACGCATGTGTACTTTACTCTATAAAATGTCATATGTTATACCAGTCACTTAAATGTTGGTCCATTAGACAGTGAGTACAGTGCATGAATGCAAGTTCACACTGGCAAATTTTGTTTTATTGAATAAACAATCCAAAACCCCAAAAAGAAACTGTAAACTATTCTTGGAGATTAAATAAACCAACAAACATTCATATTTTAGGAAGCTAAGACAAGTTAATTTTAGACACACATGATCAGAATCATTGCCAGTTTTATTTATTTAACCAAAAAATCTTTTCTGTGAGACCCGTCTCGCATATGGTGTTGGGCCATAGCGTGTTATTGTACTAATATTACTTTCCCCAGTAATGTGTAGTGTGACAAGTTAAGAACATCTCAGTATTAATATTAGTTACTCCCTCCAAAAAAAAACGTATTTTTTTTTGCCACCACAGCAAAGATTGAATTGAAATCCAGCATTTAATATTCATAGTCATCGTGTGTGCATATGTATATACATGTCATTTAGTGGTATAAGGAGTAAGCTAGCTTGGAAGATTGAAGTACCTACGTTCCGTGGCTGGAAATACTTTGATTTTATCAGTACAAAAGGTGATAATACCATTAATGCAGGTAGCAGTAAGATACCTTCTGCTGTGAAAAATACAAACTCAAACCTCTTGAAACTCATGTAATATAATTTTGAAAAGAATAATGTGAAATGTATCACATTTTTTTTGCATAATGAGCTCAACACTGTCACATACAATAGTTACATCTGAACACAATAGTCATTAACATCTGTCACATATAACGCAACAAAACAGGACCTGATTGACAAGAACAGTTACTTTCCACATTTTTCAAATGTGATGTTCAGTTGACTATTTGACAACTACAAAAGTTTTGGCAAATTGAGCAGTGATATCATTGAGCTGTAGCACGGTGCTGAGTCAAGTGCATCCCCATCTGTGTCCTCTTAAATCCTACTGTACCTGACTGATTGTTTTTGCTAATGAATTAGACATAGCTGCACACATAACAGTGAGTGTGTACTCTGACTCCCCGGCTCCAGTTACAAGGAACAGATAGAGCGTGACGGCTGAATTCTCATGTTGTTTGATGCCTTTCCAGAATACTTTCACACATGGTCTCCATCATGTTATTCCTCTGGCTGTGCTGGTTAGGACTGTCAGGCTGACTGTTGTTTATGGCTGCGTTTCTCTGCACTATGCACAGGACAGAGAGCATTTTCTTCTATGTCCGCCACAGGTGCTGTATGTTTACTGTGACTGATGTGTGAGGTTTTATACTTTCCGCTAGTGAAAAGTGTGTAAACGTAAATTTTTTAGATTATCACGTGCTGTGGTAAAAGCAGATGGTCTACACTAAATGCTTGACCTTTGAATGGAGATTTGTCACAGAATATTTGATAGGAACATAATATTGACAGTGAAAACATTTTAATAGCAACCGTTTTGATAATTGATAATAGTATTTAGTAGTAAACCTTTAGGCAAAACCTTACATGAATGTCTGATGGTTTATTCGGTCTTCTGTCATAGTTAACTGAATATCGTTTTGCTTTGGCCTGCTGGTCAAACAACCCCAGCAATTTGAATTTGCCATCTTTTGTTCTAAAATTTTAATAGACGTCACTATTCTTGTAACTTTTTTTTTGACAACTTAAATATTTAGCAGTTTAATCAGTGATGATTGTGCCAGTCAGTGTGGATTTTCTTTAATCTTGTATACAACACTAGGAAAATGTCTTATATTACTATGTCCAATGTGAAAACCACATCAGATGTGTATTTCATAGCCTTTAGAGATGCAGTATGTTTGTCCGTGTAGATGTGAGGATACATAACAACGGTGTGTTTTCTGTGGCGGTTACATGACACCTTATTGGTGGACTGAAGAATGATGCTGAGCAGATTACAGGGGGTCCTTACTGATCACAACGTGAATATTTCATGGCACCAGTGAGACAGTTAAGAGGATACTGTAAACACCTGATTGCCAGCTGTGTTATCTACCTGTGGGAGCCAATCCCAGTTGACGCTGGGTGGGGTACACCCTGGACAGGTCGCCAGTCTGGCTTTGCTTCTCTGTGTGTAGTTGGAGATCTCTTTATATGATACCCATTACATATTTATAGAAAGCCTTGTGAGGTTAAAGAGTAGAGTTGAGTAGAGTATTGCATCATGCAGTAGTAATTTAAGTGCATACAAGCCCAGTCAAGTCAGTGTACTAACGGCATGGTTTCTTGTATATGAATTCCGCTCAGTAACGGTTAACTGGTTCGACTGGAGGTTACTGGCACAATCTGATAATCACATACTTGATGGGACTGTTTAAGTGCTAACATCAAGTATCTTTTCCAGAGTGGAGATGGTGGGAATTGCTAACAAACAACAAGGACAAACTGTACTAGAGCAGCTGCACTAAAGATGACTGTGTTTTGAGTAGCTGTTTGAGAAAATGCACGTAGGAACCCTGACTACCTGCTTTAACCAGACTGTGCACAGAGGGTGAGTTACTCCCAACATTTGCGTCATTTTATAATGTACATTGAGCTGGCTTTTGGTCAATTAAGGTTGGTTTGTTTTAAGTGGATATCTGTGGATCAGCTACAGCTGAGTTGCTTTGGAGAAGGGATGGTGGTGTGGTGTCAGTTTATTTGTGACTTTTTTTCCCCTAATACAGCATTATACTGTCACTGTGGGATTTGTCCTAAGAAATTGTTGAGGAATATGGAAATCCAAGAATGAACAACCCATCTTATTTAAATATTCAGTATAACATGGTGCAGGTAAATTATTTTCATTAGAACTTGCCTGCTGATGACTGACTTTGACTATTTCATGGAGTACTGAGCAAATAGCCTTTGGGTTCACTAGAGCCACGCAAAGTTGCTATAATTACCTCTGAGGTCTGACATAATTGGAAGTGACACATAGTCAGGTGGTTTAGAGATGCAGGTTACCAGTGACAAAGTGGCAGAGAAATATGACAATCAGCTGAAAATGGCAACCTTGCTGACCACTCACCTCAGTCTTTACTGCGTGTTAACAACCTGCAGTTAATCGGTATTCATCTACACAAAAGATCTCTGACCCCAGCACTGCACAGCTGAGGTCATTGTGAACACTGAGCAGATTAAGTCCTTTGTTTTGCATGTTAACCATGCACTCTGAGCAACATCGGCAGATTCAAAGGAGCTGTGTTTTCTTTATTTTCATGTAATTGGGACACAGTTGCTGCATGTGTTATGTGTATGCATGTGAAGGAAGAGAAGAGCATTGTGCTGAAAGAGCTTTGTTTTCTCCAGAGAGTGATTGAGAAGCTTGAAATGTTCATTGTGCCAAACTGCCTTGAGTGCATCAGAATGAGGAGAGGCAGGGCTTTGTGAGAGGCCTTACTACTGGGTAAAAAGTCTCAGAAGTTGGCGTAGATGGAAGCCAACCCCTATTTGTTGTGGTGATTGACGCCAATGGAAAACAAGCAAGTTATTCATGCATGATGACACGTTTTTGTTTTTATTGGATCTGAGCTAAAATCATAGTACAGTTCACATTGCATCTCAAAAACCTGGTTCACATTTTTAATTTCTCTATGTTTAGAAGAGTAGAGTGAATTATTCCAGCATAACCTCTTTCTATGTCTGAGTTCAGAGGAGATGTCTGTGCAAATTTAGGATGAGTCAGCTGGAATAAAGTACAGCTGCTGAAATCTTATCTTTAAATTTAGAACATGCCACGAATGAAGTAAATGATGGTTAGCCTTACAGTCTGTAGATGTGAATTCATGCATGACTGGTTTTGTTTTACAGTCTTATGAAATAAATCTCATGGATTCACTCATGTTCCTTGTTTTCATTACTGGTGGTATGACACTAACGATGATCTTACTTTGTTGGAAGGGCCTGTAGGTCATAAAATGTAGTCCTCACCACAGACGCATCTAAGTTTACTTTGTGTTCATGGTTAAATGTAAGGTCTACATTTTCATCGTCTTGTAGTTTTTAGGCCTCAGTGCTCACAACCAACAGGAAATGCTCCATCCAATTTAGGATTTCTAGTTTTTCTCTCTGGTTTCACAGGGTCTGGACATCTCCTCTACATTTTCTGTTTCAGTATTTTGGCTTATGTGATTGTTTCCCCTTAGGATTTTACAGATTTCTTTTGTGTTGATCACATTCAGTCTTTGCTAAATCTGCTGTTTTTTACGTTGTTGTGGGCTGGGCGGGAGGCAGCACGGACAGGGACAGAAAGAGACTAAACAAGCTGGTCAAGAGAGCTGGGTCTGTCCTGGGCTGCCCCCTAGATTCCATCGAGGAGGTGGCGGACAGAAGGATGCTGGTAAAACTAACATCCATCATGCACGACCCCTCCCATCCCCTGCACCACACAGTGGTGGCTCTGAACAGTTCCTTTAGCGCAAGACTGTTATATCCCCAGTGTAAGAAGGAGCGTTACCATAGGTCGTTCCTCCCCACAGCAATCAGACTGTACAATACATCACTGCAGGGATAAGCCAGGTGAAAGTATGAGGGACTATGTAATCTGAGGTGCGATACTCAAATCCTGGGGTAAAATGCATGGTTAATATGCACATATGTAAATTCTGTTCTTAATTATTCAAATACTTGATTCTGTCTATTTTTGAGTACTTGGAATTTATTTATCAGGATATGTATGCAGTGCTTGTTCTCATGGTGTTATGTTGTCCTCTATTGCTACTTGAGGTACTGAAATTCGTTTATCAAGATACGTGTGTGGTGTTTGTTTCTCATGGTGTTAAGGTGTTTGTTCTCCATTGCTGCTGAAACACTGAAATTTCCCCATTGAGGGATCAATAAAGTACCTACCTACGGTAAACTGTTCTGCAATCAGTTCAATTTTAAATCCTCATATAATAAAGGATTTCATGACATTGCACAGAGTTCACTGGCACTTGTCACGTAGATCCCATTTCCCTGCAGGATGGAGTTGTCATGTCTGGACCTGGCTCTGGAAGGCGAGAGGCTCTGTAAGGCTGGGGATTATCGCGCTGGTGTGTCTTTCTTTGAGTCTGCCATCCAGGTTGGAACAGAGGACCTCCAAATTCTTAGTGCCATCTACAGCCAACTGGGAAATGCCTACTTTCACCTACAGGAGTATAACAAAGCCCTGGAGTACCATCAGCATGACCTCACACTTACCAGGTAATCGGTTTCACAACATCAATGGTAATTTGTTTAAAAATCATATCCTACTTCTTAAATCTTATCTGATTTGGCAGTTTTGATAAATACCTTTGCTTTGTGCGTGTGTTAAATTTCACCGTGGTTAGCGATCAAACGGAAGGTAATGCTTTTACTGGCCTTTGTTTAAGAGCAAAATTAAGATTTCGATTACATGTTTGTTTTTTTTAGATGTAGGGTATGGCCTAATCTGTTATGTTGTGGTGCTGATTGGATCATTATCTGGATCCAGGAATTGTTTTTAAAAGATTCTTCACCATTGTGAGGTAGAGCCAATTTTGATATTGTTCTTCTAACTCTAATCTGGATCCAAGTAATATTCATGATCTGCTGAATCAGAATGAGCTGCTGCCGTGAGACGACAAATAATGCTACAGACTTGCAGCCAAGATAAAATTCTTGCTGAAACTCTGCTGAGTATGGTGTCAACAGATTTGACAAATCCTGAAAAGCTACTGAGCCAGAACCTGAGGAAAACAGACATTACTGAAATTGTTTTTTTTTTTTTCTTCTTAACTTTTAAACTAATGATATCAGTGAGATTCCAGCATTCATGATCAAGGATTCATAATATGAGGGTCAGACTATCATGGGAATACTACTGCTAGGGGGAAAAGTGAGCTGCCTTGGTGGAGGTTTGCACGGTCTTAATGCTGTCTAGTTTACTAATTTTGTGTTTTCTCCTTTGTAATCCCAGAATAATTGGAGATGACCTCGGTGAAGCCAAAGCCAGTGGCAACCTTGGAAATACTTTAAAGCTTTTAGGACGCTATGATGAAGCAGTGGTTTGTTGCCAAAGACATTTGGATATCACGAGAGCTAAATATGATAAGGTGGGTCCTACTTTAGTGGCACTTTAGAATCACAACGAGGGATTTTTATGTGTAAGTGAATATACCTTCAGAAAACCGACTGACTCTTCACTGTTCTATAAATTTAAAAAGTTATGTAAATAACAAATGCCCATTACATTGATTAGAATAAGTGGATTCAAATTTGTTTGTCAACCACAGAAGAGATTGGGTATACATGATGACTGTGGAGCACTGGCATACCAACATCTAGAAGAGCTTGCTGGTCCGCATGTTAACAATCAGACCTAGTGTTATGTCAGGGTATTTTAAGTGTATAATTACAACAGTGGTGACGGTGGTTTCCGTCTCTGAAAATCTGTTTTGTGTGCTGCAGGTTGGGCAGGCTCGAGCACTGTATAATTTTGGGAACGTGTACCATGCCAAGGGCAAGAGCCTCTGTTGGACTGGAGCGGAGCCCGGAGAGTTCCCAGATGAGACCAGGATAGCCCTGAGGAAAGCTGCACAGTACTATGAGTGAGTTGCTATCATTGATGGTTTGTTTAGTTATAAAAGACCTGATGAATGAAACAAATAGATGCCACTAACTGAAAATTAAGGTGTAAAGATGAGTTTTAAGTCAGACTGTATGATGGCAACAGGGAGGTTATTCCAGAGGAAGAGGGCACAACAGGAGAGGGCCTTGCAGTCTTCTTTTTAACTGGGAACAGACAGTTCTGCATTCTGAGCATGAGATGGAATGTAAGGTTTAATGAGATCAGACAGATACAAAAGTCAGTAGAATTTTATGTCATTAGAAACACTTTGTTTCATTATTGTTTTATGCTGTAATTGATGTATTTGTTCTGGTTTTACTTGCTTCACTTATGCAACGTTGGGCAATGGATTTAGTTAAAATTCTAGCTGTAGAATTCTGAACCATCCTAGGACTTGTACTAGCATATGGCTGGTCAAAACATGTTGCCATAATCAAGGCTGGATGACACATGGTGTGAAGTTGTCTCTGCATCTGCCATGGACAGAAAAGACCCAGATTTTGTTTAATGTGCTGGTCAAATGTAACACTAAGATTCTTGGCTGTCGAGCTCTGAGAAATCACACAGCTGTGCCACAATTTTCTTTTTTATTTAGGCTGCATGATGACAACTAAGCCATCTACAGGAACTGTGTGAACCTGAACCACTTATGTGTTTGAGTCTAGTCAGTGAGCAGTGGCTCATCCTGAAAACATAAGTGCATTTTTTTCTATGAAAGATTTATAGGTAAATGTACCACATGTACACAAACATCCATTTGTTTTACGTGTTTTTTTTTGTTTTTTTTTTTAATACACAGAGCCAACCTGTGTCTGGCGAAGGAGTTAGGTGATCAGGCAGCCCAGGGTCGGACATATGGAAACCTGGGTAACACTTACTATCTGCTGGGTGACTTTGAAAAGGCAGTAGCTGCACATGAAAAGGTAGGTGAAATGAAACCCAAATGTACATATCACCTGTTTTAAAATTAGCTTTCTCAACATTTTTAATAATTACTTTGTGTGTGTATATAGTACTTTTATTTTTATTCCTAATGCAGATTCCTTTGCTTGATTGCACATCACTTATTTACTTCTGTTCTCAGCCTTGCATTGTTTACTTGCCCACTGCTGCCTTGCATAAGGACACGTACATACACATTGAGAGCTGATGTGCCAGAGTCAAATTCCTCGTGTGTCCAACACACCTGGCCAGTAAAGCAGATTCCGATTCTGAAGAGAATTGAGAGCCATGTAACTGTTGATATTTATTCAACATGTAAGGAACATGTAGGTTTTATCTGCTTAAAACCTGTCTCATCTCATGAGTGTGAAGTTTGTGTTACCGGTCTTGATTATCTCAAAATGTTTCCGGTTAATCTTGACCTTAGCGAGAGTAATGTGCACCCTGCTGTTTGGCAGCGTCTCCTCATTGCTAAAGAGTTTGGGGATAAGTCCGCTGAGAGGAGGGCACATTGTAACCTTGGCAACGCTCACATATTCCTCAGCCAGTTTGAAGTGGCGGCTGGTCATTACAAGTGAGTAAACCTGACACTTTCTTACCACATGATGATCGTTGATGTCATGTCATTTCATAACAGTTAACACTGATACTGAAATACTTTTATCTTTGTGCTGTAAAATCTGCAATAGCAAAAAATATTGAATTGTAACACTTGTTTTTGTCACTTGTCGTTATGAGTTACTGAGTGTAGATTAATACACAAAAACTTAAATTTATAATGTGCAAAAAAAACTGTACATTAATAAGCACTTACAAATGTCCTTGTAGCTGTATAGAACTACATTGTCTTTTAAACTGTTTATAAATGCTGAATAACAGGATTAAAATGTTTCAGTTTTGGTTGCTTACATAAGTTGAGTAAAGAATAGAAAGGAAAAACAGCAGATAACTGTCATTCTTCTGCACCCACCTTCTTTGACCTTCCTCCTCCTCTTCCATTTTCCCTTCAGGAGGACTCTGCAGCTGGCCAGACTTTTGAAGGACAGAGCAGTGGAGGCCCAGGCCTGTTACAGTCTGGGCAACACCTACACACTGCTGCAGGATTATGAGAGAGCCATTGATTATCACCTTAAACATCTGGTCATTGCTCAAGACCTCAACGACCGGTATCAGCCATAAAAGCCATATGTTGTCAGCTTTCCTGCAAACTGTCTTTGAAGTATAATGAGCAAGTGCAGTTTGAATATGTGTGGTCAAAGAACTAATCATTTGCTAAAAGTTAATGGCATCACTAGTATCAGTCATCAAGCTACAATAAGCTGCAAAGACACTAAAAAGCAAAGCTGGAAAGAAAAAGGATTTACAAGATTTAATGCCATGTAAACATACAAGTTATAGTTGTCTTTGGAAAAGAATGCAGAGCAAAGAGAGAAGTCAAAGAATACAGGTCCACAAGATGTACAAAAATAAGGTTTTCTATTTATGGATTACAATTTTCAGCCAAAACATTTGATCAGTACATAACACGAAGCACTTTTTTTATAGACGAAATTGCACGTTAGCTCCATCTTAAATTACATTAAAATGCTGCTCACATAAACTGAAATTATTAGTTATAGCGTTAAAGTGTAAACTGAACAGCAAAACATAATTGAAAGATGCCAAAATGAAAATGTGCTTCAGCTTTTTACTTCCCAGTATATATAAGTTTTGCTTTTACTACAGCTCTGCTGACACACTACTTTAATTTCTTGTTTCTATTTTGAGTCTTTAGACTGTAATGATACTTTTTTTTGTAAATCTTGTGAAATATGTATACAGGCCTGAGATTAAATGTTTAATTGTTGTTTTGAAACAAGCATAACATCTGGATTTTGTGATTGTACTAAGAGTTTGAATGTCCTGCCCAGTATTGCATAATCTCAGCTGAAGTTGCTCAGCCTGTTTCCCGTGTCTTTCGGCAGAGTTGGTGAAGGAAGAGCATACTGGAGTCTAGGAAATGCCCACACTGCCTTGGGGAATCATCAGCAAGCCATGTACTTTGCTGAGAAACACTTGGAAATTGCCAAAGAGGTGACTGTTTACTGTTTGCTTCATCTCTGTCCAATCAGTAGCTGCCATTGGGCCACAGTGCCATCTACATCTTGTAAGGGGAACAACAGGAACAAAACTAGCTTCCTTGTGTCTGCTATGCATCCATTTAGGATTTTTATGGACATATGTGATGCAAAGCCAGTGTCAAAATGACTTAGCAATAGTTTACTTGGCCTTTGCCTTGCAGCAGTATGCTTACATTAAAGCTGCATTAACTCAAATTTAGCAAAAATTTGGATAACTCAAATTATTTAGAAGTGTTGTCTCCCTCCTGTACTACACCCCCACCCCACTCTATTTTCAAGCCCTGTGTTTATTTCTACCCCTCTCTGGGCAGTGTTAAATCTGCACTGCACTTCTTCCATGCCCCTGTTGAAATGAGGTTATAAGATTTTCAAACCAGTATGGCTCATTTCAAAGACAGGCCATGGAGGCTCCCTGTGCAGGTACAAGAGAGGCTGTGTTTTGTAGCACAGAAAGGGTGTGATTAAAAAAAAAAAGAGGCAAAATCAGGGTTATCAGTTTGGCATGTTGGAGATGGAGCACATTAAACGCATCCAAGTACAAAAATTTGACACTTTCTTCCTGCTAGACGTGCAAGTACTGTAGCTGGCTAACATGTATATGTCGTCATCGTTAGCAAGCTGTTAGCATTTCAGTGTTGTACCTTTTATATTGAATTATTCTGGCTGTAATTTGGAGTCATTCCAGATGACTGTAACGTTAGCCTTTTGTTGTCCAGTTGGTGGAAAACAGTGCCTTTTCTTGGATTAACAAATGAAGTAATTTTGCTCAGTTTGCTAATTTTGTTTTGTTCCAGACCACATGGTTCATTTATGATGAACCTAACACTGCAGTCCATGTAGCATTTTAGTGAGACAAAAACCATGGGCTCTATATTCTGTGTACATTAGTTCTGGAGCCGGCTATAACTGCTGTGCTACTTGACTGCCACAACCAACTGGCTCCAGCTGTGGTGACCACATATGACCTAGTTTCACAGGCAGGAGAGGAGCGGAGGGAGAAGTGGAAGGGATACGGCTTGAGTTTGTTAGAGTGAAAAGTTGGTTAATGCACCTTTCAGATGTGTTTAAATCCACCTTGATGTTTTTGATGGAGCAGACTGGAGACAAAAACGGCGAGGTCACAGCCAGAATGAACTTGGCAGACCTACGGCTGGTCGTAGGCCTCAAGTCCAACTCCAACATCCATCGCAACATAAATGCTAATAGCTCTGCGCTGCCATTAAGCTACCCCAACTTTCCAGGTAAGCCTGCACTACTTCGAATAGTCTGTTTTCAGGAGAGTCTGACCAATCCATTTTGGAACATGTAGTACTTGTGAATTTGTGTAGCTGCATTTTAGCCCTGTTTGCTTTAAAACACATTTTGTTCACACATTTAGAGATGTAAAATTCTGTCCAATCTCCAGGAAATGCCATTTCTTCATTTTCTTTGTCAAGTCACTGTGAAAATGCTGTGCAAATATGAGTTTTGTGTTTTTGTTTCAGGGGGCATGTCCCCATTCAGGAGGAGAGGCAGTGTTGAGAACCTGGAACAGAGTTCAAATCCTGCTAAAAATCAAACTGGACCTTCTTCAGTCCATCCAGTATGTATAAAATGACTTTACAGGTGCTTACATTAAGTAACATTAAGTGTTTTATGTATTACACACCAGTGGAAGTTACTTATTCTGATTTAATACAAATTACAGTTCCCCTCTTTAGTTTACATACACACTGTACTCCAAACATAAAAATCCAGCTTGTAACCCGTCCAACTCTAAGCATTTCCCAACATTAAAAAATAAGCTCTTCTTCATTTTAGACATCAAATTTAAAGGCAAAGGATATGGTTAATTTAACTGCTGCTGTGACAATGAAAGTGAACTGAAGTGCCAAATGACCGATGCTAATTCAGAGTGATGCATATTAATTTGAGTGCAGTTTTCCTGATTTAACCAGAAGCATAGACTTGGATGTTGCTTAAGAACTTGTTCAACCAACGTAAACACAAGTTAAATGTTAGACCTCTAACATGAATCTATTAGTGATGTTCAGTTAAAATTATCAGTATGGATGCACCTTATATGTTCAGGACTGGGAAGAGGATCCTGGGTCTTCAAAAAACAACACAAGCAAGGCTTCGACTAAGCTGCTCCTCTTCCAGAGGTTGAGAAGCAAGAAGCAGAAGAACAACAAATCACCTCCTAAAGACCAGCATGAAAGCTGCACCAAGCACTCATCTCCTCAGCTGGATGCACTAGTGTCCAAGGTATTTAAAGATATTTCTCAGTGCATATGAAGGAATGTTGTCACTTTTAAAATGAATAGTTTCATATGAGAACGCTATCTGTAAAATGGTTCGACCTGTATCTGAAGAAACCCGTACACTACAGCAAAGATCAGCTTTCACAGGCGTCTTCCTGTGAATCTGACAGGTTGGCAGAGGCTATGAAGTGGTAACTCCTAGTTTTTCCTGATTTAATTCAAAAACTTTGCAAAGAAAGTCAAACAGCTGAAATGTATTGCATCAACTACTGCAAATGTCAAATGGGGCAGCTGTAGCTCAGGGGTAGAACAGGTCAACACCTGATTGCAGGACTGGTGGTTCAATTCCTGGACAAATTGACTTGTTTTAGTGCTAACTCGAACTCACCTCTGTAACGAGAATTTTCCTGTGGGTATGCAGTTTTCCACTTTTCCTGTATTTCTATTAAAGCCTGCTATCTATTCTGAGTACCTTAATTATCTGAAGTCTTTTTCTAATAAGTCTGTGTATTTCACCTTGGGGTTTTCTTTTGTCCAACACTGTAGCCGGGATCACAGGACACTATTGGCGAGGACGGCCTTTTCGATCTCCTCTCTCGTTTTCAGGGCAACAGAATGGACGACCAAAGGTGCGCTCTACACAATGGCCAGCGCCATCTCCCTGCCCATTCCTTCGCCTCCTCCACCCCATCTGTCATTGAAAGGAAATGTGAGTCAGTCCCTTATCTTCATCTGTGTTTACACCATATGTAATATAATTTTGACTTTTCTTCGAAGGATAAGTGGAAAGCTGTAAAAGAAATGTTACTTAGCGAAGGTCTTTTCACATTTTGCTACATGAATCTGGTGGGATGGCCAATCAGTTTCCAGCAGAGAGAGTACAGCCACCCCTGCCGTTTATGGTGTGAATGCAGAATGTCCACAAATGTGTCCCTTGAAGTGTGATTGATCATCTGTGTTGTTGATGTTAAAGATGACTATGAGCGATGCCCCAAAATACTGAGTATCAACCCTTCTATCTTGAGAGTTTAGTGTAAAATGTTTGTAGTTTCACCTCTCACTGAGCGCTTAGCACAGGTTTTGTGCTGCGTTAAAAGGATGGAACTACAACTTTTCACAAAACTGTTTTTGACACTCAAGTCTAAAAAGTGTTTTTCTCAAAAGATATATTTTGGGTGTAGCATTGCTTTATCTTATCCTTGTCCATTCTTTATCTTCTACAAAATACGAATGAAAAGCAGAGTAGGAGTAAAAGGCACAGCGCCCTGTTACCAGCATAATCCACCATCTTCAATTTGTTACTGGTCACTCACCGATAATCATTGTCTTTTCCAGCCGCTTTAGAGTGCGAAGCACCATCACAGGATCCTGGTCATTTCCTGGAGCTGCTGGCCAGCTCCCAGGCCCGTCGTCTGGATGACCAGCGAGTCAGCCTGAACCATTTTCCTGGCTTACGTCTCAGCACCTCCAACCCGCCTTGTACACCCTCCATCTCCAGCACAGATCATGTCCCCACACAAGGTAATAAGTACGGAGGGATTTCCCAGTTTTGTCATCTCACTCAGTATCACTGCTCGTAGCTTGACTAATGCTCATTTTTCCTTCTTAGCCCCAATCTCCCAGGCAAATACGCCGTATGCACCCTCCCTGTACAGTTGCCTCGAGGCCAGTACTGAGCAGCCTGAAGGGGACGATGTCTTCTTCGACATGCTAGTTAAGTGCCAGGTGAGGAAAGAAATTACCATTTCTCCACGCCCACTTCAGATTAATAGATTTTTCAGTGTCATTAATAGATTCTGTTATCCACATCACAGATTAGGGCTGCTGCCATAAATGTTTCCATTAATGGCACAGCAGCCCTGCGGTGATCTGTACCCGACTAGTTATACCAGCCTCAACAGTATGAACTAATACATAATTATGCTTTCTATCTCTACAATGTTTTAGGGCTCTAGGCTGAATGACCAGAGGTGTGCTGCTCCACTCTCTACAACTAAGGGACCAACAGTTCCAGATGAGGATTTTATCAGTCTCATTCTGCGTTCCCAGTCCAACAGGATGGAAGAGCAGCGAGTCCTGCCGCCCTCTGGTATTGCCCAATCCAAACCCGACTGACAAAGTAATTACAGGATATCAGAGGAAGTAACAAAGCTTTCTTAAAAAAAAAAAACTTTTGTATAAGCTGCATATCTCTAGATTCCAGCATTTTGAAATTGTTCAGATAACATTAGTGGGAGACTGCCAAGCCAACAAGGGATGCTATAAGGAATTACGGTTAAAAAAAAAAAAAGACCTCAGCCCCTGTGACGTTTTGCTACTCTGAAGGCTTGCATAAGGTTGCAGTTGTTAATTTGTTTGGACTACAAACGTACTGTAGTCAAAGGACATGAGCCACACTGATGAAATGTCTACTTGATGACAGACTAGCGACATTGTAGGAACCTATCTCAGAGGTTCTGCCTATTTACAATTCCACTGGTTATTAAGAGTGGGATATATTGGCTAGAATTGATCTCTGATCTGTCCAACAAAAGTCATATTACAGAGTCAAATGACAAAACCGCTCTGGGGAAATAAAGGTTTGTAAGACTCTGCTACACTGGTGACTAGTGAAGCCATTTATAGAATCTGCTTCAAGATATTGCTTTCAAAGACAATGTCAGACATTGTATGGGTGAAGCATTATTGCCCTGAACTGAAATGGAATTCCTCTTCTTTGTAACAAGATTAACTAGTGTGAGGACATAAAAAATGTTATTTTACAGTGTGTGTGTGTATGTATGTATGAGGCAAAGTAAAATCCTGGTGACACCGGAACATTACACTCTTACATAATTGCTGAAAACCTTGTTTCAAAATCATGAGCGTACGATGCTACAACAGCCTCGATCCTTCTATGAAGGCTTTCCACAAGATTTTAAAAATGTGGCTTGAGGAATTTGATCCTGTTCAGCCATCAGAGTGTTAGAGATGTTGGCCACTAACACTGGACAGTAAGTAGTAGCTCCCAGTTGGAATTCCACTTCAGCCTAAATGTGCTGAATGGGGTTGAGGTCAGGCCTCTGTGGAGGCCAGTCAAGTTCTTCCAGACCAAACTCAAAAGCCATTTTTTGGGCCTGTCTTTGTGTGCTGGGGGATTGACACACTGAAACAGAAAATAAACTTCTCAAAGCTGTTGCCACAAAGTTCAAAAGCCTAAAATATCAGTATCTGCTGTGCATTAAGACTATCCTTAAATAAATAAGGGACCTGCTGCAACCCTGGATAAAAGGGGAGAAAAGCGCCTTACCAAAGTACATGAAAGTACGTGGACAGTGAGGAGATGAAACTGAAGCCGTGATGCTGGCATGTTACTTTGATCATCTATGAAACACTCTTCATTGTGGATTAATGACCAAGTTGGGGAGCATCTTCCATGCTAAAGGCTGCCGCAGAGAGCTGCTGTTTGTCACTGTCATGGTGGGTGTTTATCTAACTGCATCATCTGTAACCAGCCAAAGAGTTTCTTAAGCGGTTTCGAGGTTCTTCTTTCCATATTTCCAAACAGCCCTTTCATTATCATAATGTCTCATTAATTCTGGGTCTGGCCTCGGCTCTAATTCTCACTTGAACTCTATTTGAACTTGACTTTGTGAACCTGACTATAATAACAGCTAATAATGTAAAACTGCAAGAGCACTGAGAGCACAGCTGGGGCCTCAGTGAGCTTCACCTCCTCTACTGCAGAAGCATGGAAATGGATAAATCCCCAGGCGGACATAAGTGGCAAATGCACATCACTTGGATGCATAAAGCTCTTGAGCAGGTTCTGTTTGGCACTGAGGAGAGAACTTAAAATCCTCACCGCAGCCGCAGC